GTTCTCCATGGTTCTGGTCATGATGTTCTCCATGGTTCTGGTCTTGATGTTCTCCATGGTTCTGGTTATGATGCTCACCATAGTTCTGTTCGTGATGCTCACAATGGTTCTGGTCATGATGTTCTCCATGGTTCTGGTTATGATGTTCTCCATGGTTCTGGTCATGATTTTCTCCATGGTTCTGGTCATGATGTTCTCCATGGTTCTGGTCATGATGTTCTCCATGGTTCTGGTCTTGATGTTCTCCATGGTTCTGGTTATGATGCTCACCATAGTTCTGTTCATGATTCTCACCACGGTTCTGGTCATGATGTTCTCCATGGGTCTGGTCTTGATGTTCTCCATGGTTCTGGTTATGATGTTCTCCGTGGTTCTGGTCATGATGCTCACCATGGTTCTGGTCGTGATGTTCTCCACGGTTCTGGTCATGATGTTCTCCATGGTTCCTCTGTAGAACATGGAGAGGACATGTGGTTTGAGGTGTGATCTCTTCTGCCTACAGAGGAAGTCCAGACGCTGCTGGGCTTTTTTCACCAGGGACCCAGTGTTTCTTGACCAACACAGCTGATTGGTCATGTGAACCTCCAGGAACCTGGTGCTCTCCACCACCTCCACCTCTGTGTTGATCATGAGCAGCGTGTGATGTGGTTCTGTTTTCCTGAAGACGATAATGAGCTCTTCTGTTTGGTTCATTCAGGACCAGGTTCTTTCCACACACCAGTTCACGAGTTGTGCCACCTCTTCCTGATCCTTGTTGCTGATCATCTCCACGACCGTGGTGTCAGCTGCTAGCACAGAGGTCTTAGCAGTTAGCAATTTAGCATTAGCTTCATCTAATTTTAAGCAACAGTGAAGATAAAACATTTTGATTTTCTGACTCTGTTAACTACAAACTTGTAAATATTTTACTAACTCAATGAAACAAACTTTAACTGAAGGAATGCTTGTCGCCCACTTCACTGCACGTGAAGGTTTTAAACTAAGACCCAATCTGTCAGTGCTCAGAGTGTGTGTTGAGGAAGACTCTCAGCTACTACCACACCAGATCTTACTCCAACATCTGTAAAATCAACAGTTACAGCTGTTTCTGTGTTTCAGGTTTACAAGTAGTGGCAGCCATCTTGACCCAGGCTGAATTTAAAAGTTAATAAGATGTAAAGTCTTGCCTTCATGGTGTTGAACAACAGTAAAATATATTTATGTTTAGACATCA